GAGATATCGTCTTGTCTGAAGAATCGTCGTTTAGGAGATACCTCACATCTTGTTCAATTATCTTTGGTGATCTAACTATATGCTGAATAATCAAAAAACCATAAAGCTAGATCAACAAAGCTTAAATGTTCGAGATGGAACATGGACATTATCGACGATTGCGTGAGTAACGATGTGCTTCTGGCAATAATATAATATTAATATTGCTAATGTATATGATGTAGTATATATCTTTTTATCGCGGGTTTATTTTATCGTTATTAACATATCAGTGTTTATTAAGCTAATATTTAAAAATTGTTAATATCCTCTCAAAATGAGCATGTGAAAGCGAACTCGTTCGATTACACTGAATTTTAGTTCCACAGATTGTCTTGCGAATAATTAATTGCTTTTACATTTTTAGATGACAGAGTCTAAAGGAACTTTTATTGTGATATGTTAAAATAAGATAATCATATCACAGTAAATGTTTCATCATTCTCTGTCAAGCATTCTCTTCTTTATTTACGAATTTTTTCTTTCTAATGAGAAAAAAAATAAAGAATAGCGTTCACATTATAATCGGCAGAACAGAGGTACAACGCGCGAGATGGATATAATTCAGTTTGACTTAAATTTATTGTCACTGGGTAATATTCGTCCCTTGCATGTACTAACTAATCATCTTTCCTGGAGCGTTATTGACAATGTGATTTTACATCGTTGATAGTTTGTAATATAATTGTGTATGTATATAATTTATTAAGAAAAAATATAAATATGTGTGTGAGATAAAAATTAATTTGTTTAATAGTGCAATATACAGGGTGGGTCCAAACATTCCGGCCAGATGTTAAGATTTTATAGGAAATTTAATTCTGAACAAAAAGTTTCCGATAAACATGGGTCGAAAAATGCTTCCTTAAAAAGTTAGCGGCCAAAAATCTCTGAAATCACGGTTATTTTATACATTTTTACAAATATCAGGAAAAGTATGCGTTTTTTAACAAAAAGTACTGACACAAAAGTTGTAAGAATTAAATTATCTTTCAAATGAGATTAAAATGATTGTAGTGTGTTCCATAGGTTTTAAGAGAACCAGTTTCAAATGTATAAAAAAGTGTTTTTTCGGCTATCGACAGTAAAGCTTTTTAAAAATACTCTTCATTTATGCTGCTATGGCCTTTTTTAATACTTATTTTGCTTGCTGGTTATTCCACTAAAAAATTTTACTTTTCTGCATTGTTTAAACCAATCACCATAAGAGAATGAAAGGAAGAACAAAGGTGAAAAGAAAAAGAAAATAAAACTTAATAAATTTCATGGAAAAAATCAATAAAAATAAAAAATAAAAATCTTTTTCTTGTATAGTTAAGGCCATAACAGCATAAATAAAGAGTATTTTTAAAAAGCTCTACCGTCGATAGCCGAAAAAACATTTTTTTGTACATTTAAAATTGGTTATCTTAAAACCTATGGAACACACTACAATTATTTTTCGACCCATGTTTATAGGAAACTTTCTGTTCAGAATTAAATTTCTTATGAAATCGCAAAGTCTGGCCGGAACATTTAGGCCCACCATATATATACATTTTCATGCAGAAATACTTGTATTTAAGAACACTGACCTTGTTTACAAGGCAATTTCTGAAGTCTATTTGCATGTCGGATACTGAAACTCTATCATGCGGTCTTTTAGGTCCGCTGACGCTTGAAACTACAGTTCTCAAATCCAAAGTGACCACTTCGGAGAAAATTGGATCTTGGCTTGCGTCAGTGTAATTCCTCAGCATGCGTACGCTTCTAAGATATTTCTCAATCCTATTAATATGTTCTTCGGATCGACCTGTTGTAGAGAAAATACATGTAGATTTAATGTGTGTTAATATATGTAGATTTATAATGTGAAAAATATTCTATAGAAATAATAATCGTTTGTATGAAATATATTTATATCAAATGTAATTTTTCATGAATACAAAAACTTACCTGTTTGTTTGAGATACGTCAAGCTTTGTTCATCTACTGCAAAGAAGCCTACAGTTGCACCATATTCTGGACACATATTAGATATAGTAGCACGATCCGCGATACTTAATTGTGTCACTCCCGGCCCAAAGAATTCAACAAACTTCCCAACCACTCCAACTTGCCTTAAGTTCTGCAATATATAAAGATATCATATGCTTATTCTGATTGCTTTGGCATATATTAAATTTAACATACATAAAATAAAATGAGAAAAAATTTATATGCTTAGAAAATCTATATATATTTGTTTTTATTTTATTTTCATTTTAAGGTTGTATTTCATATTTATTTAATATATACAATGTCAATATCATACATGTAATAAACATTTTTAGACTTACACCAACAGAGAAAAAAACTTTTTAAATTTTGAAACTTGGATTTTTATGTTGCAACATTTTTGTCATCACTTAGAGAGCATCCACATATAAATTTATAATTATGCATTAAAAATATGTTAAATTATAATGTTGCAACATGTAATGTGTGATATGTATAATGTAATATATAATATTGTAAATATTAATAAAATTATATAAAATATATCAAAAATATATTAAAACAAAAAAAATTCTATGTAACTAATTTTAATTAATTAAAAAGAAATCTTACCTTTGTAATTGTAAGAACAAGATCAGTGGATGTAGCATACTGATTCAATGCACCTTCCAATTTATATCCTACAACTTTTGGTATTAACATAGAAATTGCTTGACCAAGCATAACAGCCTCTGCTTCAATCCCACCAACTCCCCATCCAAGCACACCGAGACCATTGACCATAGTAGTGTGAGAATCAGTACCGACTACACTATCAGGATACAGAAGATTGTTGAAGTCAAATACTACTCTTGCCAAATATTCCAAATTTACTTGATGCACGATACCACTTCCAGGAGGTACAATTAACATATTTTTAAATGCCTTTGCACCCCACTTGAGGAACAGAAAGCGTTCCTTGTTTCTCTCAAATTCAAGTTCTTCATTCTTCTTTAAAGCATCAGTGCTGAAATATGCAATAATGTTCAGATTTATTTTGATCAAATTATCTGATGATGTATGGTATAAAGTTTAATATCCTTGTTTCTTATTTCTCCTTTTTGCAATGTTATCAAATGTATTACATAAAATATTCTTGCTTATGTAAAAATTAAACTTTAAGCTCTTATATATGATAACCTTTTACTCTTTGTAGAAACGTTATCATCAAAAATCAAAACATGCTTGATAGAGCAGTGAACTGTACCTCCTTGTAAAATCGACTTGTATCGAATGATCGATTACAAGATCCGATGGACAGATCGGATTAATCTTATCAGGATTACCGTCAAGTCTCTTCACAGCATCTCTCATCGCAGCAAAATCCACAACTGCTGGTACTCCAGTAAAGTCCTATTTGTAATATAATACAATAAGTATATCTCTTATATACTGCTGAATAAAATCTAAGAAGTTTTTGCTTTTTACTTGTAATAGAACTCTCGCTGGCTTAAAAGCCACTTCAACTCCATCTTGGAGAGTTTGATTATTTTCCCAATCCAAAATTTTCTCAACATCACTTTTTGTTACTTGGAAATCATCACAATTACGCACAGCACTTTCCAAGAGAACTCGAATGGAAAATGGCAATCTGTCTATGTAGCAGAAATTGAAAATATACAATTTATTCAGTAGATATAAAATACATCATAAAGTAAAAAATAAGAAATTTATTTTACCATATTTTGTGCCAAAATTGCCAATATCATAATATTGGCATTCTTTTTGTCCGATTTTAATAGACTTTAGCAGATGCTTATAAGGATTGACACCTAAAATAACAGAAATATCACTATTTCTACAGCTTTTCATTAAAAAAATTAAATAGAAGAAAATATACAAAATTATGTCATTATATTATTTTTTTATTAAAATAAATATTATTAAATTTAACATACATAAAATAAAATGAGAAAAAATTTATATGCTTAGAAAATCTATATATATTTGTTTTTATTTTATTTTCATTTTAAGGTTGTATTTCATATTTATTTAATATATACAATGTCAATATCATACATGTAATAAACATTTTTAGACTTACACCAACAGAGAAAAAAACTTTTTAAATTTTGAAACTTGGATTTTTATGTTGCAACATTTTTGTCATCACTTAGAGAGCATCCACATATAAATTTATATAAATTTATTTCCGAATAAATTATTTATATATAAATGGCAAATTATAATCTTTTTATGACATAAAATATTTTTAAGTTTTTCAACAAGCTTTTCGAATATTATATTTTTTTAAATGTTGCAACTTTTATCAATTCATAACATTCATAAATTTAATTCTATTAAATTCAAATACCGTTAGTGAAAAAGCGCAAATTAATATTTTTCAGAACAAAAAATCGATTTAACATAATGACACTGCAATAATAAATCTATCCTCTTCAATAGTTTATGTTTTTCTCCAACGAAATAACAGCAACAAATAAATTCACATCTTCTCACTTACCAGCCATGATTGTCACTGCACAAGTCACGTCAGCCCCGTTGCGTGATGCGTATATAACGAATTATACCAGGTGTCCTACTAATATCCACATCGCATAATGATAAAAACGAAATCGTTCGCGATGATGATTTTTTCGAAAACTTTTATCGCGTAAATTTTTATTTTCTCCCTAACTTTCCCTAACAAACAGATTTAATTGTTTTATTTTTAAAAATTAATCGAGTCAGAAAGAAATACAAAAGAATACGAAATAAAATACGATATAATATGAAACGAGACTTGTGTATGTCGCGTTATGCAATATAACTCCTCTCTTAAATGCTCCGAAATTAATTCAACGGTCGTGTATAATTTATTCGTACATACAATACGTTTTATAATGTGATGGAAGGATAAAGTTCAAATTACCATACATAATAGCTTTTATTAAAGACGCTAGATATATAAAATCGCCTGAGACCGATCACGTGGTATGTGATATATACATATATCTGTGTGTGTGTGTATATATTTGTGTATTTCAATTTGCGATACACGTATCACACCTCACACCATAGACCGTATCACAAACTGTCATCGAAGGTTAGCTAAAAACACGTAAATATAAATAACGAGTGACTTCAAGCAAATTATATACGATAACACGATTGTTCTTCAACGAAACGTGTTAATTTTTAACAAAAATAGTTCCTTTTTTTTCATGAGCGTGAAATAAAATATTGAGAATGGAACGAAATTTGGTTAAAACATTGGATGACATGTAAGTTGTATATTATAGTGTATATATATTAAACATGCAAAAAAGATAATCATAATAATATGAATCTCGTAAATTATTTTCTTATTTTTTTGATCATTTAATAAATACTATATATTATAATGAATACTATATAATATGAAAATACTATATATATTAATTCTTCAGGTATACTAAAGAAGGCATCATTGGCTGTATTTTAGTAGATCATTCTGGTCTTTGCTTAGGAGGTAATGAGTTATTACAATTATAAACGCAAAATTATATAAACATAATATCAAAGAAACTCTAGAAAATTATAAACATAAAATTTATCAGAATTTAAGATTATAAAAAAAAAGATTTTGTAGTTAAAGGTGATGCGTCAAGTGACAGTGCAGGCTTGATAGCAGCTATATCGGGTCTAGTTGCAAAATTAGAGCCTAAATCTAAGGCACCGATCATATCGCTTCAAAACGAGAGCAAGTAAGCTGACTTATCACATTGATAAATCAAGATAAAAATTTGTTGAATATTATTACATCAATTGCAAACAAATTTCAGACAATGTATTATACATCGTATGGGTCCTGTAGTTGGTGCTGTATATAAAGATATATCGACTTGAAATAATTACTTGTTACATACATGCCTGAAACTCGTTTATATCTGAAATAAGATGCGTCTAGGAATATTCTGTTTAAACTAAAATTTAAATTAAATTATAATTTTAATTATTAAAATAATATGCTCCGTGCAAATGGTTTTTCTATCGGCAAGATAGAAAAACCAGGATTGTGAATTCTGCATAAGAATCCCCATTTTCTATTGTGTGAATATCGATTTAAAAATGTCTTCATTTTCCGGTTTGGCATTTCTGAATCGGACGCATCGTGTTTAAATTTCGATTAATTTCAGTGCCCAAAGGTGTTCGGGAATTTCACGGATCTCATGTTGATCTGCGTTGATCACGCTACTACCCGGTGTCTCCATCTTGTTTGTTTCTCTAAACGCGCAGAAGAATAGGACAAAATTTTGCTCCGCTCCGAGATTACGTTACTTCGCAAGAATTCCTTTTTGGTGTTTATCCGAACACCGTACTCCCTTAGTACGGCGAGAAAGTAGATATTATGTCTCACGGCGGTAGAAACGAGTGTAGAATATACGTGGGAAATTTGCCACCCGACATCCGTACAAAAGACATTCAAGATCTTTTCTACAAGTTTGGTAAAGTTACTTTCGTTGACTTGAAAAATCGCCGAGGGCCTCCCTTCGCTTTCGTTGAATTTGACGATCCAAGGTAAGCTTCCAGAGAAAATTATACATGCCAAAAATTCGACGTATACACACACACACACACACACACAAATATGTATCTCATATGTATATATAGATTACATGCATGAATATATATATAATATTTTTTATTATAGTATTTATTGTTATTTGATTCTTCATTTTATATATATGACATTAAATTTGAAATGATTGTATTTTATTGCGGAGAAGGAAACATAAAAATTCATTTCTGGTTTATAGAGCAATATATATATATATATATGTATATGACAAGCAAATAATAAGCGATTATTATTTTTTGTAAACCCAATAATAGAATTATTTGTATGCTGAGATACTACAAGATTTCTTGCATAAAAAGATATCGTACACTTTCTTCCATTATTTATTAGAAGACATCTGTTTAAAAAAAGTCTTCGAACATATATAAAATATTTTCTTGTCTTTACTTCCTGTGCGTAAAATATAATTCTAAGATTTAATGCAATATAACTTTGACTGATATTTTGAACAAATATGATTTCTCTTGCATTTGTGTATGTGTATGTGTGTATATATATGATATCATAATCATTATATTTTTCTATATTGTGTAAAGATTTACGGATACATATTCTATTTTTAAGAGTTATATAAAAAGTAGCTTTATTATAGAAGAAGAAAGTTGTATCTAAGCATATGTATGTCTTTCAGAGATGCGGAAGATGCAGTACACGCGAGAGACGGTTACGACTATGACGGTTATAGATTAAGAGTCGAGTTTCCGCGCGGTGGCGGCCCCAGCAATAATTTTCGCGGTGGACGCGGAGCTGGGGACAGCGGTAGAGGTGGCCGCGGTGAGATGAGCAATTCCCGCGGTCGAGGTCCTCCAGCGCGACGATCACAATACAGAGTTTTAGTAAGCGGCCTGCCACCAACCGGAAGCTGGCAGGATCTCAAGGATCACATGCGCGAGGCTGGTGATGTATGCTTCGCGGACGTTTATAAAGACGGTACTGGTGTCGTTGAATTTCTACGGCACGACGACATGAAGTACGCCGTGAAGAAGTTAGATGATTCACGATTTAGATCACACGAGGTACGATCTGCTGTTATCCCTAATTTTATGTTTATCGCTGCTTTCACATTGAAATTTTAATATATATCCAATATAATACATAATATTCATACAAAAAAGAGATATAGATAAAATATATATATATATATATATATATATATATACATCAGAATTTAAGATTATAAAAAAAAAGATTTTGTAGTTAAAGGTGATGCGTCAAGTGACAGTGCAGGCTTGATAGCAGCTATATCGGGTCTAGTTGCAAAATTAGAGCCTAAATCTAAGGCACCGATCATATCGCTTCAAAACGAGAGCAAGTAAGCTGACTTATCACATTGATAAATCAAGATAAAAATTTGTTGAATATTATTACATCAATTGCAAACAAATTTCAGACAATGTATTATACATCGTATGGGTCCTGTAGTTGGTGCTGTATATAAAGATATATCGACTTGAAATAATTACTTGTTACATACATGCCTGAAACTCGTTTATATCTGAAATAAGATGCGTCTAGGAATATTCTGTTTAAACTAAAATTTAAATTAAATTATAATTTTAATTATTAAAATAATATGCTCCGTGCAAATGGTTTTTCTATCGGCAAGATAGAAAAACCATATATGAAATAAAGTAATAATAAATAATAATTATTAATATTAATAATAATAATATAATTAATAATAATAAACCACAGATTTTATGAGAAAAATAAGGATCGTCGATCCTTTTCTATTTTCCCTCTGTAATGTGTCTATGTAGATTGCAGATATACCATATCTATAGTCGTGTGTGTATGTACGTAACAGACACCACACACATGGAGACAGAATTTATTTCTCAACGTTGGTAATTCTGAAACTATAGTTTAGTTTACGTTGTCACCGCGCGAGGTCTCTGCTATTGGATACCGGAAACCGGACATCGTATTTTCGGATTGTGAATTCTGCATAAGAATCCCCATTTTCTATTGTGTGAATATCGATTTAAAAATGTCTTCATTTTCCGGTTTGGCATTTCTGAATCGGACGCATCGTGTTTAAATTTCGATTAATTTCAGTGCCCAAAGGTGTTCGGGAATTTCACGGATCTCATGTTGATCTGCGTTGATCACGCTACTACCCGGTGTCTCCATCTTGTTTGTTTCTCTAAACGCGCAGAAGAATAGGACAAAATTTTGCTCCGCTCCGAGATTACGTTACTTCGCAAGAATTCCTTTTTGGTGTTTATCCGAACACCGTACTCCCTTAGTACGGCGAGAAAGTAGATATTATGTCTCACGGCGGTAGAAACGAGTGTAGAATATACGTGGGAAATTTGCCACCCGACATCCGTACAAAAGACATTCAAGATCTTTTCTACAAGTTTGGTAAAGTTACTTTCGTTGACTTGAAAAATCGCCGAGGGCCTCCCTTCGCTTTCGTTGAATTTGACGATCCAAGGTTATATATATATATACATATGTCATTTTTTTAATGCTTTCCTGCTTACTTTTATATGCTTGTAATCTATTATCGTACATTGTTTTTAATATTCTTTGACCGTTTGATTTAATGTGATTTAGGGCGAAGTAGCTTACATTCGTGTGAAGGAAGATCATAACGGTGGCGATAGGGGACGCAGCGAAGATAGAGAGAGAGGCCGTAGCCGTTCTCGTAGCTACAGCCCGCGGCGTCGTGGCTCTCCTACTTACTCGCCGTTGCGGCGTAATTACTCGCGATCAAGATCTCGTTCCAGATCTCGCTCGTACGACTAGTGTGTACGTATGTGTTTCACATGATAACATAAGTACAGGTTTATATTGACATTTGCTCTTTACTATGTTTCATTATTGCTGATTTAAATTTTACTTGATGAGAATTTCTTCCAATCCAAATAGATTTTGTAAAAATATTCATATTAATTTCTTTACATGTTTAAATTAATGATTCATTTAATTAATTGTATTTGATGTATAGTTAGAAAAAAGCATATTGGTTGGTATATATACATATGGTGTGGCATATATACATATATATGTATATGCCATAATTATTCTTTACATTTCTTGTTTTTAAAGTGAATATACCTATCATTTAACACAGAAGAAAATTAATTTAATGATTTCACTTTTTACTTATTATTTTAATAAAAGTTTTCTAACATTGAATTTTTAAAGCTGATTGCCTAATACAATAATTCTATTGAATTTTATTATCCTCACAAAAATGATATCATGCTTGTGAACACGTGTGTTTATTTTATCCAAACTGTTAGAATTATTCTTCTATATTTAAAAATACATTCCTTTGTATTTGCCAATTTGTTTTGTCATCACTACCACTTGTGAAATGTGTAACAATTTTGAAGTATTATTAATGAGACTTTTGGCAAAATACTGGATCTAAAACTGTAACATACCTATTATGTATTTTGACTTAGCTGTAAGCAGTACTAATGTCATTGACATCTATTGTGAATATTTGTAATTGACAATAACATACTCTGATTCTCTCACTTTTCGCTAAGATACATGATACAAAATGGTGGCTATGATTGACCGCATTGAAATCAATGCATCCTGTAAAATATCCTGATGTCTTTCTATTTGGATACAAAGACTCGAAATCTTGCATAGTGAAACATATTTTAAAACTTGCCTAACCAAAATTATCTTACATATAACTTTTTGTAATTACTGCATATGTATTATATGATACTTTTTCTTTACTTTCTCTCTCTTTTTCTAACATCCTTTTATAATCAAAGTTATCTTCATATGGATTAATTAGGAAAATTTTGCTTAACATTGTCAGGCGAACATCAAATTTTATTATAGAACAATAAACATGTATAGTAAAGTATATTGCAGGTAAACTCTTTACGCATATAAACATATTTACATATATAAAACAGGATTAAATTAAAATATATTTATCTCAGCTAAAGAGATGCCTTTCTCTCGTCATAAGTTTTCAAATTGCTAACATTATAATAATGATAATTATATTAAAAACAGTACTATTTGTGTTTTTATACTACTGTATATTATTAAACTAATAGATATATATCTAATATTGCCTGTATTATTATAGTACTACATATGTAATTAAATAACTCTTACTAATATGCGATTACAAAAGTTGCGTATTTTACTTCTTAGTTACAAATTATTTGAAGGATTTGGAGAGTCTTTTTCATATTGTGAAAACTCAACTCTTAAATCTATTTTGTCAAATTTGTGATTTCAAGAAGATATGCAATATACATCCCTTCTAAATGCACCTTTGGCAATAACAAAAGTATATAAATTTAAAAAATAACATATATTTGCCATATAAAATATCTTTTTCTCGCTTAGATTATTAACTCTAGTAAATAATTCCTCTGTGTACAGATAAATACCTCAAGATTGTTTACACAATTAATTTATCAGTTGAATCAAAATAATTCCGGATCGAATATGCGTAGTGATGACAATATATCGCGCATACATACTTTATAACAAAATACATGAGCATGTGACACACAGAATTTATTGTTATATACTATATATACACAATTATATTGGCGTAAAATTCTCTTCGCTATGATATTACCATCTCATACACAATCTAATTCGCTTTACAAATAACACGTATTTGATGATAGACTTGAATGATCTTTGATTAATGATGTTTTATAAGTTATTTTCTGATTTTGCATTGAATATTACTTCAAATTACTTCTTACAAAAGAATCTAACCCATCTAGAATTCTTTAAAACTTGTCAGTGTGAAAACATACGATATAATATATTATGAGTATAATCTGGACACATTAGCAATATATTCAAATTAAAATAAATTTCAAGTGACATATGATATAGGAATAGGAAACGGTCTAATTGAAAGCCAAGCGCGGTAATCAAGACGTAAAATAATTATTTTTCTCATAATTTTCAAAATATTTTTCTCAGATCATATTTGAAGAAAAAGAATTATTTTGCGCCTTTGATTACTACGTTTGATTCTTAATTAGAGTGTTTCTTTTATTCTGTGAATATTTTATATCAGAATTTTTTTTCAACTTCGTTTCAGATATATGAAGTGCGATGAAATAATTATTAATTGATATATTGTCTTTCACATTTCTCTGTTTGCGTGTTTTCCTTTCTCGTATATTTCGGAACTATGTAATTAAAAATATATTTTTAAAAACTTTTATTATATTCTAAAGTTGCATATTTATGAAAGGAAAACATTTGATATCGTGTATTTACTCTATTTTTGCAAATTAATCCTGTGTGATCTTACTTCATTATGTACATCATTTTTTAAGTTTTTTATAATTACATGAATATATATTTATTTCTTGATAATACAATGTTTAAAATCTTTTGTCATAAGACATCTATCTATATTTTATATATACAGAGTATATATACTATATATATTATATATCTCTTTATTCACATCACAAGGATTACATTTGTATTGATAAATTGTATATCTAACATTATAATTTACATCATATATAAGAAACTAATGTATTTTTTCTTCTTTTGTATATTGGATTGGATTGTAACACAATGAATGAAAAACTGAAATCAACACGATCTTACTTCTTGGATGGATATAATACACATTCGCTTGACGTTGGGATGAGATGGATTGCGTTTTGGAGAGCATAAATTATAAAAGGATTAAAAGACATAGATGAAAATGAGAATAGCGAAACGGGATACTTTCAAGAGGAAATTGAGGATCAGGAGAGAATTTTGGAGAGTGAAATGAAAAATGATTTGTTCAAGGATTCTCGATTGCCGGATCAGGAAACGTTGGCAAGTCCATTACGAGGAGGCGATAAATCATTAATATTTCTTTTTGAAACTAGTAGAATCCCAGTTTGAAGCTCGACATTTTTGTGTGTCGCTGTTTTAAACGAGAAACATAACGAGAGTGGGACTTCCTTATTATATTATGTGCTTATCCGTATAAAGTGCTTCGAGCGCGTATTATTTCTGCGTAATATTAATTAATAAATAAATATGCCGCGTTTATTAATTCATTTATAATCTGAAGTCAAACTAGTAATGGATTGTCAACTGCAACTGGATTCTGTTGGAAAGATTTTGTTTATAGTTTTAAAGTTTCTTGAACTTTAGTGAGAGAAGATTAATTTTTGGGATCACTCACACTGAGGATGGATTTTCGATGTTTATCCTCTTATTGATGCAACAGATGACTTCAATACTAGACTCGATTTTTTGTTAATGGTTTTTTTTTTTTTTTTTTTTTTTTTTTTTTTTTTTTTTTTCTTGTAGAAAAAACAGTTGAAAAAGAACGTGTTTTATTTCATAGATTTTTTTTTTTTTTTTATAATA